TCGTCGTCGTCGTCGTCGTGGCCGTCGCCCTCGTCGTCGTCGTCGTCCTCGTCGTCGTCGTGGTCGTCGTCGTCGTCGTCGCCGTCCTCGTCGTCGTCGTCGTCGCCGTCCTCGTCCTCGTCGTCCTTGTCGTCCTCGTCGTCGTCGTCGTCGTCGTCGTCGTCGTCGTCGTCCCGCTCCTCCTCCTCCTCCTCCTCCTCTTCCTCCTTCTCCTCCTCCTCCTCCTGCTCCTCCTCCTCCTCCTCCTCCTCCTCCTCCTCCTCCTCCCCTCTCTCTCTGGCCGACGCCGTCACCGCCGCCGCCAGCACCTGGCGGCGGGGTGGGGGCGAAGGCGACGACGAGGGCGACGACGACGACGACGACGAGGGCCGACGACGACGACGAGGGACGACGACGACGACGAGGGAGAGGGGGGCGATAGTAGGAGGAGGTGAAGGAAGCGGCGGAGGTTCAGGGGATGGAGGAGAACCAGAGGGGGGAAGTACGAGGAGGGATCTCCTCTCCTTCTCCCCCCTCCTCCTCCTCCTCCTCCTCTTCCTCCTCCTCCTCCTCCTCCCCCTTCTCATCCTCCTCTCCATGCCCCCCCGCCCCCCGCCCGCAGGACGACGACGTCGTCGTCATCATCGGGGGGGGGGGCACCTGTTGGCGATGTTGTCGTAGTCGGGGGCGATGTTGTCGTAGTCGGGGGGGGGGCGAAGACAGCGCGCGACGGCGACGACGAAAGGACGACGACGACGATGACGACGACGACGATGACGATGATAATGATGAGTATGACGATGACGATGATGATGATGATGATGATGACGATGACGAAGATGGGGACGACGATGATGACGATGATGGGGAGGACGACGATAATGACGGTGATGAGGATAGTCGTGATGATGGCGACGGTGATGATGATGACGATGATGATAGTTGTGATGATGGCGACGATGGTGATGATGACGATGATGATGCTGATGATGATAGTGGTGATGACGATGGCGACGATGGTGATGATGACGATGATGATGATGATAGTGGCGATGATGGCGACGATGATGATGATGATGATGATGATGATGATGATATGATGATGACAAATCCCAGGAAGACCGAAACCGATCCCCAACATGCCGAACAGAATTTGTTTCATGAGGTCAAATAGCAATCAAGGAAGGGAGCGGATCAGGAGAAGATTTCCAGGACAGCGGATCAGGTCCGAACCCGCAAGAACCTTGCTAAGGACCGCCCAGCTGAGGGATTGTTAAAAACAGCTCCTGAGGGTGTTTGCGGTTTCCTTCAGGATTCCCGAGGGATTCTTCAGGGATTCCCTCAGGGATTCCTGAAGGATCCTTCAGACATCATGAGTGAGTCCTGCGGGAGTCGCGAGGATTCCTGAGGGATTCCTGGTTGGAATCCCGAGGGGATTCTTGAGGGATTCCCGCATGAATTCTGAAGGATTCCTGAGGGTTGTTCAGGGGTTCTCAAGATCTTTGAGGATTCTTGAAGGGTCCTTGAGGGATTGCTAACAACAGCTCCTGGGGGTGTTTGCGGGTTACCTCAGGATTCCTGCGGGATGTTTCAGGGATCCCTGAGGATTCCCGGAGGATTCCTGAAACATTCCTGGGCCTTGGGCTTCCTATGGATTTTCGAAAAGTGCCGAAATATGCATGAGGATTCCCGAATGATTCCTGAGTGATGTCTCCGGGATTCCTCTGGGATTCCTGAGGCATTCCCTGGTGGATTCCTGAGGGATCCCCAACGGGACTCCTGAGGGATTCCCGAGGACTCCTCAGGATCCCTCAGGGGTCGTGAAAGATTCCTGGGTGATTCTTGAGGGATTCCTCCGGAGTCCTGTGGGGTCCTGATGAATTTCTCCGGTTTCTTCGAGGATTTCTCGGGATTCATAAGAAATTCCTCAAGATGATTCAGAAGGATTCTCGAGGGTTCCTAAGGCAAATGTGATGGCATTCCGTATGGACTCCGGAAAGATTCCGGAGGACTCCTGGAGGGTTCCTGGATATTCATTCCTAAGGCGCGTTTGGGGATTCGTCAGAGATTCCCATGGATTCGTAGGGAATCCCTCCGGGATTTCTAGAGGAATCGTACGGAACCCGAATCCTTAGGAATCCATGGGGAGTCGTAGGATAGTTTTGGGTATGCCATTGAAGTCCCTCAGGGCTCTTCAATGAAATCCTGAAGCTTATCAGGTCAGGTCGAGGATAATTGGCGCGGTCGCGATGATGATGGTGATGGTGATGGTGGTGATGCTGATGGTCATGATGGTGACGATGAGAAGTGAGGGTGAGGATGGTGATGATGATGCTGGTGATGGTGATAAAAATGATGTTGATGATGGTGATGTGGTGATGATACTGGTGATGGCGATAATGGTGTGGATGCGGATTGTGTGAGTGTGTGGTGATGATGCCCGTAATGATGAGAATAATGATGATGACGACGACGACACTCACGAAAATAATGTGTACGACGGTAATCATGATGACGCTGGTGTTGATGATGGTGAGGGTGGTGATCAGGTTGAGGGTGGTGATGGTGATGATGATGAGTTTGGTTATGATGCATAGATAACGATGCTGATGACGATGATGCGGACGACGATGGTGGTGATTATGGTGATGATGATTGTGAAGGCCGTCGCGTGTGACGCATCGTGTCTCCAGGCTTGGGGGGAGACACCAGGATGGCCAAACCTGACCCAGCCACGCCTAGCCCCGCCAATCCTTACCCTCCCAGTTGGCGGGGGGGAGGGGGGAGGCCTTGAGAGAGACTTGACCACGGAAGCCCTTCAAGACATCGCTCAGCAAGCTAACAAGGCTCGGCGCACCTGTGGGAGGGGGGGGGCATGCCGGCGCTCCGCTTCTGCTCCTGTTCCTGCCTGGTCGTGCACCCATTGTTTCGAGAAGGGGGGCCCATTCTGTTGTGCTCGGTTCGGCTCAAGGCACCGTGCGCGTTGTTAAGAGATGACTGACTGCACGTAAGCGTGACCTCTCGCCGGAGTGGCCTTTCTTGGCATCGCTCGGACGTGTGCATGTTTTCTCGGCGAGAGCCATCGAGGACCATCCTGGACCCTCGAGCGAAAAAAACACGCACGACACCAAAAAATGCACAGGAAGTGGACGTCCGAGCGATGGCAGGCTCTGGTGCGGGCCCAACGGGGTCTCCCCCGATCGCCGCGTGCGGAGCGGCAGCAGCGGCCTGCGCGCCCAGGCTCTGGCCACCCCGCGTGCCCCGTTTTTTGCCGCGCGCCGCAGGTCGCTCGTACCCAGGCTCGCTCTTATCGGGGGAACGCAAGACCCGAGTACACCTTAGGCGATGCTTAAGAAAACTTAAGTTTTCGGCCAGAGTCTCGATTATTCTTAACGTTTCAATGTAAATCTTAAGATTTTAATAGAAATGTTGGGTTCTTTATTCAACTTCTGAGACTATGAATTTCTTAACCGGAACTCGGGTTTGCCGACGTTTTTTTGGCGAGCGCGTCCTGGATTTTGACGGACCAGTTTTCGTGGGATGTCTGCAGCGGGAGCTCGCGTCAGATTTCAGATTGGGCCTCGTCATTTTCATGATGGCCCCGTCGGGCCAACCCGAGTCACCCGTGCCCGAGTCTTACGTCCCCCCGATCTTACAGTCGGGGCCCTGAAGAAGGAACCCTTTTCGTTGGGGAGGGGCTCCGCGTTCCCTCAGTGTCTCGCAGCTTGCCTTAGGCTTCCCTTATGTTTCCGATCGGAAATCGAAGTTTAACTTATGGAAAAAGGGGGCCTCCTTCCTTATTTAGGGTTCCTTAGGTCAACGCCCCGACTGTACGTGTAGCCGAGATGAGGGCAAGGATGATAACAACACATCGTATGGCCAATCCCATGACAATAGCGATGCCCATGACCACGACGACCATGATGTTATTGATGTTGACGACGCTGCTGCTCGTGATGGTGATGCCGTTGATGATGAGGACGCTGATGACAGATCATGATGATACTGATGATTATTATGCTGATGATGATGATGTTGATGCTGCTGATGATCAGGAAGAGATACCTGACAATAATGATGGCGATAACCATGATGGCGGCGACGATGTCTTTGAATATTGTGACGATTGCGACGACGACGACGACAACGACCACGACGATGATGTTTTTTTTTTCTGATGATGATCATGATGATGATGATGATGATGATGGTGATCATGATGATGATGATGATAATGATCAAGATAATGATTAGGATGAGGATGAGGATGTGGATGATTATCCTCATCCATATCCTCCCACCAATTCCACCCCTTCCTCCCCACCCTCACCTCTCCACCACTCTCACCTCTCCACCACTCCCACCTCCCCACCACTCCGACACCATCGCTGTTCCTTAGTAAGGTATCCTTAGGAAGGGATCCTTAGTGAGGCGTCCTCAGGGATCCTCATCATCCGGATCTTGTGGCGAATTTAGTGACTACCGACTGGGAGAGTGGTAACATCTTACCGATGCCCAAATCTTGCTCAGTGGTCTATGTGAATTTGCGCGGTCCTTCCAGTTGGGGCAATATGTTTCGTGTTGCCCTGAAGGCTTAAACCCTTGGCGGCCTTGCTATTGCGAATCGACTGATCAGGGGGTGGCGGCAATTTGCCCGCTGAAAGCAAACAATCAAATCTATGTTTTTCGTTCGTTGTTTGTTTCGGTAGTTTGTTTGTTTTTTGATGTGTTTGCTTTTGGAGGACTCTTCCTAAGGCCATAGATCTCTCCATGGCGACCCACTCCGCCGCCGCATGAACGGAGCCTGACCACCCAGGCAGATCACATCTTCTTCTCCTTTGCCCCATTATCTTATCTGGTTGGCATAGGTCGATGATGAAGAGCAGGAGGAGGGGGAAGGGGAAACAGAGGGGGAGAAGAAGCCTGTAGGTATTTTTGGTTCAGGTCCTTCAGTGCCGCCAGCTGGCATGGAGCCCGTGAATCGCTGTCCGCTATCAGCTGGCGCCGTGGTAGAATAGGGCATGGATCCGCCTGTCGCGCCGGAGTTGCTCGAGGCCGTTCTGCCGGAGGATGCCCCTGCTGGCCACGAGGCGTGGCAGAATTGCAAACATGACAGAAAAAACACCTCGCAGGCTCTTTGCTACTTCAAGTTTGGCTCGCAGAGGTTCCAGGCGACCCTCGCATGCTGCCTCACGGAGGAGGCCATGCTGCGCGTGACCCGGGCCTGCTACGTCCAGTTTGCGCGCGGGGAGCCCAAAGAGAGGGTCCTCGAGTTCAGAAACGAGATTTACGCCAAGATCAAGGGGCTCAAGAGAGGCAGGGCCGGCGACGCACCCGCTGGCCCCCCCGAAAAGAGAAGGCGGACCGCGGCGGCGAACGGCAGTGCGGCCGCCCCTCCGGCCGCGGGTGCCGAGGAGGGCGCGGACGTCCCAGCCCCTGGCGCGGCGCCTGCCCGGTCGCCCCCGGCAGGCTCGCCCCTCGGCGAGGCCCCGCGATCTGTCCTTGGGCCCGTCGGTTGCGACGCCGCCTTGGCGGCCACCGCGGCCTCGGAGGACGCCCCTCCGGGCCACGAGGCATGGAGCAGGATCCACTACGAGCGCTCGAGGGGGCTCGTGCGCCTGCACCTGAGGATCCTGAGGCGGCCAGGCCTGGAGCGGTACACCACGACGGTGAAGGCCTGCGGAGGGAGCGAGGAGGAGGCGATGCGCATCGCCCGCCTCTGCTGGGTCAAGTTCGCAGAGGGCGCCAGCAAGGAGGGCTTAGGGGTCGAATCGTCCGCCATTTTGTTCAGCGATGATGGCGACACTGCCCGTGGATAGGATGATGGCGGCGACGACGATGATCCCCCAATGGCTTTGGATTTCGGCAACCGCGAGTTCCTTCGAATCCGGCCACACGGAATCACGGGTCTGAGTTGCACGAGTTCTAAAATGTACAGTCGTGTGATAGTTGTCGGTCGTAAAATTCAGTGAGCACGTCATCTCGGGGAAATTTGGGGTCCAACTTCATGTTCCCAACCTCGGTGCATCTGTGGCCGTTTTGGCTCCATTGGCGCGCTTCCAAGGCGCGCCATGGCGTCGGTTCCAGCTAAGCAGCGCAAGCGCGACGCAGTCAGGTATCATCGGCGACGACCGACGAACGACGATTAGCGACAAGGACGAACCACGGCGACGACCGACTGACAACGACGACGTCGACGTCTGGGGGCTTGACTCGGGGTTTCTTTGGGACGCTGGGGAGGGCTCAGTCGGGGGTGCTATCTGGCATTACATTCGGGGTTCACTCGCGGCTCCGTCGGGCTCACTCGGCCCCGGCGGGCGGCTTTAAAATCATAAGTTTGCAGGATTCGAAGGCTGAGGTGGCGCATTCGCCGGCAGCCGCCCCTCCTTTCACTTATTTGAAGGGGCCCCAGGACACATACATAAATACACACAAATAAAAATGTTCCCCATACATTCTCATATTTTCTGGGTTTCTGTCTTCCCCCCCAATTCCCATATTTCTCATATTGTCCAGGGAATCGAGGATTAATTGTGTCTGTGTGTTTCTTTTCCTCCTGATTATTTTTGAACGCGGAACCCCGTCTCCGGGGGGGGGGGGGCTGGAGAGGGGAACGGGCGTGCCGCGTCCTCGAAGCGCTCCTCTTTCAAGAACTGTACCCGGCCCGCGCGTTCTAGAATTTGACTTCGGCCAGTGGCGTCGGTCGGCTGGTCTGTCCCTGGTTGTTTTCGGTCGGTTTGGGTCGGCCAGTTGGTCGGTGGTCGTTGCCGTCGTCTATGTTTGTCGGTCCGAGCCACGTTTCCACCATGGCTTAATCTAGGTATTGTCACTTGACGGACACGCGTCGTCAACATTCTCACTCGCAAAGTAGACCCTCGACAAGGAGCATGTGTTTCTGTATCCGCGCTCCCCCCTCTGTGGGCTCGACAAGTAGCACCGACCCGCTTCATGCATTTCGGTTCTCGCAGTTTTTCGGCGCCGTGAGACAGGAGGGAGGCGTGCTTCTTGCGTCGCGCCATCAGGCTACACATATATAGCGCAATGATAGTTTAAATGGCGAGCAGGGCGCGAGCTTGGACGCCGAAATGTTGGCGATGATGAGGATGACGGAAGGAATGGCAGCGGTGCAGATGTCGTTGGGGATGCAGCCCCGGCCCCCCGATAATAAAGCTTACTCTTTTTTTAAGCCTGATAGTTTATAGTCCGGGGTCAACGCAGATTTGGCCGGGGGAGAGGGGCGGCAAGGCCGAACTTACCTCTCTCTGGGGGCATGTGCAAACCGAAGTTGCGATCTACTGACTTTGCTTATCAGCATCATCCGAAACGCGTGGCATGGCTATGGGGGGCTCAAAATTTCACATTCCGCAAGCCGCGAAGGTGTGGCAGGGCTATGGGATTCTCACAAATTCACTTTGCGCAAGTCGCGAACGCGTGGCAGGGTTCTGGGGTTCTCACCATTCCAGCTTACCCCAGCCACGAACGTGTGGCAGGGCCACGGGGTTTTCACTTTCTCTCTGCCCTTCCCGAGTCCGGAACGTTTGGCACGCGGTTTGAGGCCCCATAGGGAGCTCCGCAGAAGGCCCCGGCGGCGGTGTCCGCATTCGCCCGCGCCTCTCGTGGGCCCCCAGTGCAGCGCGCTCCTCGCGCAGTTCGTGGCCCCTTAGGTGCATCCACGGGACCTCCTCCTTTTCCTCCTCCTCCTCCTCCTCCTCCTCTTCCTCCTCCTCCTCCTCTTCCTCCCTCCGCAACCGCTTTGGCTCGAGTTTCCCGAGCTGGGCGCTTCGCAGCCTCTCCCGAGGCGAGCGCTGCGGAGCCCCTCTCGAGTCCCCCGAGCCCCGCCAGGGACGGCGGACCCCCGAGCCCGCGCGAGGGCGGCGGGGCTGTCAGGGCCCTGGCCCTGCGCTGGCCGAGTTCTTCGCCGAGATGCCGCGACACAGCAATGGGCTGCCGCGCCAGCAGGAGCTCGCTGACAGCTTCTCATGGTCCTCGGCGAGAAGGCCTCCTGCGCCGAGGTGCGCCAGTGCCAGTCGAGCGGCGTGGCCGCCGACGCTTCAACATGACGAGCATGCACCCCCGTGGCTCGAGCGCTCAGTCATCGGCGCGGCGCTCGAGGCGATCTACAAGACGGGCGCGCTCGGGTCCGTCGCGCACGATGGGCATCTTCCACGAGGGGGGCGCCCGCCGCCCCGAGCTCCTCGCCGCCGTCTTCTGGAAGACTCGGCGCGAGGATATTCCTGCCAGACTTTCGGCGCCCTCGAGGAGCGCGACCAGAACTGCGGCAGCCTCTCGTTCTCCCGCCGAGTTTCCACCGCCAGGTCCTCAAGGCAGCCGCGAGCAAGGTGGCGTTTCTCGGCGGCGAGACCGTCGAGAAGCTGAGCAGCGGCCCCTACGAGAAGCGCATCGAGGACGCGCTCGGCGAGCCCCCCATCGGCCTCCAGGCCCTCCATGCCGCGCCCCCAGTGGGCGAGCGCCGCGAGCCTCGCGACATCTTCTCGACCGCTATGCGGGCGGGCGCCAAGCGCGCCGAGGGAGGAGGCATGCGTTTCCGAGGCGATCGCGGAGTTGCCCGAGGACCTCGCGGAATTCTTCGACTGGGCCAACGACTGCGTCGCCGTCGAGCCCCTGGGCCCGCGCGTTCGAGCCGCCGGGGCCGCGGTCGAGCGGCGCCGGCGCATCGGGGCGCGCGAGGAAGGGCGCCAAGCGCGAGCTCCAGGAGGCCGCGCACCTCTCCGCGCGCGCCACGCGCGACCAGGACACCGAGACAGACGCCAACGATGCCGACAAGGTCCTGCTCCAGCGCACCATCGGGGCCCATTTCCCGAACTACCACAATATCGCAGACGAACGCGCTGGGCAAGGCCGAGGCAGGCGAGGCGGGGGAGGGGGGCAAAGCCTAAGTTAGGCGTTCGAGCCCGATCGAGGGCGCGCAATTTTTTGACGAGCGGCGCCCCCCACGAGGGGCGCGTTTCGTTTCGGGCCGCTCCGCTCCCGCCGAGCAAAACACCCGGGCCGCCATCGACGACGTTTGATCCCCCGTCTTCGGCCCGGGGGCCTCGCTCCTGGATCCGAGCATCTTCGAGCGCCTTGGATCATGGATCCCAGGACCGCCCAGCATGGGCTCCAGGATCTTGGGCCTTCGATCCGAGGATCGGGCATCGGCGATCGTCGATCGCCGTCGTCGCAGTCGTCGGGCCCAGGCCGCCATCGACGAAGTTCGACCCTCGATCCTCGGATCGAGGGCCCTCGATCCTGGATCCGAGCATCTTCGAGCTCATATGATCGTTGATCCGAGGGTCGACCAACTTGAACTCGAAGATCTTGGTCTTCGACCCGCGGGTCGAGGATCGAGCCGACGATCGTCGATCGCCCTCGTCGCCGACGTCGGGCCCAGGCCGCCATCGCTGAGGCTCGATCGCCGACGCTCGGATCGAGGACCCGCGATCTTGGGCCCGGGCATCTTCTTGCGCCTGGGATCGCAAATCCGAGGATCGCCCAGCGTGGCCCCGAGGATCTTGGGTCCTCGATCCGAAGATCGGGGATCGAGCTCAGGCGATCGTCGACCGTCGACGTCGCCGTCGCCTGGCCAGGGCCGCGAGGCGGCAGCGCGAACGGCAATCGACAACGGCAACAGAAACGACAACAGAAACCAGCACACCAACAGCAAGCAACATCAGCAGCAACACAAACAAACACAACCGCAACAGCCACGGCAACCGCCAACAGCAACGGCAGCACCGGCAACATCAACAGCAACAACGACAATAATAAGAACATCATCGTAACAATTTAGTCTCAACTGATCATTAACAAACTCACTTCCGCGCCCCGAGCCAAGCGGCGTCTCTGGCCAGCCGCAGACGGCCAAGCCCGCGGTCGCGGCGAGGCGCCCCCGCCCGAGATCAAGATCGAAGGGCGAGAGAACGCGGGGGGGCCGAGCCTGCAGACGCGAGGGCGAACGCAAGGGCGCCCGGGCCCAGGTCCACGCCGAGCCCATGGACAGACATCTCTTGGACGACGTGGACACCCAGGCCCTGGCCACCGTCGAGGAACAATCCAAGGACATCGCGCTCCACGCAAGCAGCTCCAGGACCAGAGCGGCGAGCACGAGGAGAGCGAGGCCAAGGGCGGCGAGCTCGAGGGCAGGGCCGAGGGCGCCAAGGCCCAGGCCCTCGTCGAGGACGCCCGGGCCTGGGCCCCCGTCAAGGGCGGCGAGCCCGAGGACAAGGCCGCCGAGCAGCTCGGCAACGGCGACCCCGAGCTGCTCGGGAACAGGCAGCCCGAATTGGTCGAGGGCGCGCGAGAACCCAGGTCGAGAACGGCCAGCTCGAGGAGACGCAAGTCTAGAGCAGCCAGTCCGAGGAGGTGCAGGCCCAGAACAGCCAGTCCCAGCTCGCGGAGGGGGTGACCTCGCGCCAGCGAGTCAGGACTCTGCTGGCCGTTCCTCGCGCCGGCGCCGAGGCCGTGGCGGGGGCGTCTTTCCAGCGGCCGTCGAACCGCTGGGAGCTGCGACCGAGCGCTCAGGCCGCGGCGCAGCGGGGGAAACGAGAACGACACGAGCAGAAGCAACAGCGAGCAAACAGAGCAACAGCAACAACCACAACGACAAGAACAAGCAACAACGCTAGCAACCAGCACGGCAACATCACTAGCAACCATAACAACAGCAACAACAACACCGGCAACAAGAACATGCCATCGACAAGACGCTGACAACGCAAACAAGAAGCTAACAACAAACATATGGCACTAACAA